TTTGATGACAGATCGATCAGTGAATGGATGCATTTTTTAAAATGCGGGTCTCCGCCATGACGTAACTCCGTTGCTGTGGCAACCATGGAGTGCGTTCGGAATTTGAGTTCTACTGACTGTAACCGAGCGAAAAACGCCATTAGTGTGAAAATTGTCGTGTAGACTAAATGGACGCAGAGTTTCACCGTAGTGAAGAAATCCATACAGTTTGTCGACGCGTTTTTAACACAGTGTGTAAGAAAACAAATATCATGACTAACCTGATTAGAAGAAACGCCGTGATGCCGGCCTCGCTGGACGTCGAACATCTACAAGATCCAGCAGATGGCGTAGCCGGGCAGGCTCAGGCTGAGGGCGGCTTCGGCCCCTCTCCTGCTGCCGCCCGGAGCATCAGCCCTAACGGTAAATGTCGAAAAGAGCATTTGTCAACACATTACTGTCACACATAAATACAAACACAGGCTCTCTGAGCTGTATAAACTTCACTACAGGGCGTCTTATATGTTTAGTTAACATATTTGAACACATATATAGACTGTAGGTCGTCTTAATGGATGATAAAATACATGTAAACGTCAATTATTCACTATATTTGGAAATATCTTTAATTAATCATGTGTATTTTTAAATCTGTGAAACCCAAACTTGAACTTGTTATAGAAATTTTGATGTTTTGTATAGGAATATGAATGAAGGCCCAAAAGAGGCACAGCGATAGTACTAGTTTTATTTTAAAGTATATTAAGTATAGTATTAAGTATATTAAGTATAGTATTAAGTATAGTGTTTATAAGTATGTCTGTAATGGTCTTGCCCTTGTTAGGTTTAAACATGCTAGGTCCAAACTAACACTGTAACGTTACCCATCCTTTAAAATCACAGACAGTTTCAATATAAACATTCAAACAAACAAAACTGCAGATATTGTTTTTATCAAACTACATTCAGTCACTTTTGAGGCTTTTTTGGTGAAACAGTTATTAACAGGTGCTTATTATTATGTACATATACTCATTTCAGACATGTCTTAATAACTTGTTTCTTTGTTTTTGTCTGTTAGTAGGAAAGACCAAAGTGAAGAAGAGCAACCGTGTGTTGTCTTTCTTCAGAAGGGCATGGAAGGCTGTGAAGGCAAAGTTTCGGAGAAACAAAGAAAACAGGGACTCATCACAGCCGAATCCAGAATTACTTGATGTCCCTAATCCCAGAGATCCTGAACGCATTACCCGCCTGCAGGACCGCCTGGAAAAATGCGCTCTGAAGTGGACACCGGTCACTGAGGTCTGGCCCAACGTCTTCATAGGAAATGTGTAAGTCTGCAACACACATCACATCTGAAGCAGTCCTGAAATGAGTAACAAATGTTGTGCGGTGCATGATTTAATAAATAATGGTAATGGTTTAAAAAATAAGAGCAAATTTAAATGTCATGGTGACTTTAATACCAATTAAACAGTAATTAATAGTAAAACATACTGCAGCCTTATGAAGACAAATCAAACACAGCGCAGTTGTAGACTGTATTGGGCAATCTGAGCTACTTCATCATTTCTTTGTGCAAATTATATTGTTTTGCACACACACATTTCAGAAACAAATGCAACATTATTTTGATAAAAACATGCACTGCTTATTCATATTAATTGAAAATATATGCAAATGGCACATATAGGGCCTGTGTTTCCATTACAAATATTATAGAGAACATTACATTATCTACTCTCAAACATAAAATCACTTACAAAAGCGAAGAACTCTTCTAATCTCTTATATAAATCATATAAATAAATAAATAATGAGGTGATTTATTAAGAAATTAAATTTAATACTTATTATGTATCAGGAAAAAAAACATTCTACTTCATTATTATTAATAATAAAAATAAGAATATTTTTATTTTATTATTTTAAAGTCTACTTTTAGATTTTGACACTTGTAAAACACTGCAGAAATGTTCTAACCATCAGGCCCATCTCATATACAGTACAGATACTTAACAAATAACCTACTCTAAATTAAAAGCATTAACGTATGCTATGTTTTTTTTTGTTTTCACTAGCTTTGGAGCAATAACAGTAAAAATATACTAGCTTTGGTTGTGTTCAAAATGACATCAATGTTTTCAAAGTGCACTGTGAAGGGAGCAATTGTAAACATGAAGATCGCTAAAACTGAACTGTAAAAATACTTTGAAAGCAAATTACAGCTAAGAGAGATGACCTTAATGCTTTTTTAATAATTCCAAGTTTAAATGTTAGAATGTTCTAAATGAATAGGGCATAGGGGGGATAACTGAAAATAGAACACAGCCAGGAACGGTTTCTAGCTACAGCTCCAGAGGTGTAGTTGCAAGTGCACAAGTTTGCGACTCAGTTTGCGAATGTTCGTTGAATGACAGATTTGGGAAACGTCAAATCAACAAATGATTTTTGTAATGACACACTTGCGACCTTAGTTGGCTAAAGATGGTTTTCGGAAACGCACCCCTGGACAATTGTAGAGTAAGAGTGTTTTAATGAAGACTAATCAAGGCTGTTGTGTTCTTTTGCAGGAATACGGCCAGAGACCCAGCCAGACTGGAGGAGATGAACATCACACACCTCCTGAACGCTGCACCAGAGCTGGAGAATGAAACATCCAAAAATGAATGGGAAAAGGTTTACAAAGACATGAACATCACTTCTCTCAGACTGTCTGCAGACGATGATGGATGGTTTGATGTCACCAAACACTTTTTCCCAGCGGCAGACTTCATTCATACAGCCCTGAGCAAACCACAGAGTAAGAGTTCACTTCCACACACAAACTGAACCAACATTGTGTTGTACACTGCCAAATTGTTGAGTTTGTTTTCAGCGAATGCTGGTTTGTTTTTTGGGAATTGTGAGGACATTTCATAGGTGTAAAGGTTTTTATACTGTGCATGAAACAAATACTACAGTAATTCAGGAGTACTATAGTGTATAGCAGTAAATACTGTGCTGTTTTTAAACTCTAACTATTGTAAAGTTCTTCACAGAATTAATCTGTTGTGGTGATTCTGTGGTACTACAGTAATATAAAATAATAGCTGAAACTGCTGTTACACACACACACACACACACACACACACAAATACAATACAGAACTTAACGTACAATTTGTTTCTTTAAGTCATAAACGTTTATTAATAACCTCCAATAACTCTGCAGATGAGTATTTCAGTGTGTTTTATAGAAAGTGCACTTACCCAAACATTTCTGCATTTTTACAGCTCCAGTTCAATCATTTAGAGTCATTTTTATTATTAATTTTCTTCCCTCGTCAGAAATGTCTGGGTTTACTATCCTTGTGGGGACAGTATTTATCTATCCATCTCTCCATCTGTCCTACAGTGCTAAATGTGCTAGCGATACGTTTGTGTTGATCTTTCTCTCTTTGTTCCTGCAGATAAGGTGTTGGTGTGCTGCCTGCAGGGCGTCAGCCGCTCCGCCACACTTTTCCTGGCATATTTGATGATACACCACAACAAAACACCAGAGGACTCCATTGATCTGGTGACACACAAGAGATTTATCAGGCCAAGCAGAGACTTCTTGAGGAAATTAACAATCCTCGCTGAGCAGCGACACTTAATTGAAAGTGACGCAGCGAAGAACAGAAGCAACTCTGCTGCCGATAAACCAGACCCTGAAGTGGAGTCAGTTGATTCAGAGGAAATGTATGTTTGTGAGCCGTACGGTCTTGAACCAGTCACGATGATTTCACACATACATGACCCTGAAGCCTGCTCCAAACTGGACAAGTGTGCTTTAAAGCCTGATCCAGAACCGGTCCCAGGTCCGAGCAGTTATAGACCCGAACCTAAGGCAGTTGATTCAGAGGAAATGTATGTTGTGCCGTACGGTCTTAAACCAGTCACGAAGATTTATCACATACACGACCCTGAAGTCTACTTTAAACTGGATAAGTGTGCTTTAAAGCCCTATCCAGAACCAGTCCCAGGTCCGAGCGGTTATAAACCCGAACCTAAGGCAGTTGATTCAGAGGAAATGTATGTTTGTGAGCCGTACGGTCTTGAACCAGTCACGATGATTTCACACATACATGACCCTGAAGTTTACTTAAAACTGGATAAGTGTGCTTTAAAGCCCTATCCAGAACCGGTCCCAGGTCCGAGCGGTTATATACCCGAACCTAAGGCCGTTGATTCAGGGGAGCTGTGTGTCTCTGACTTGAGGGGTCCTCAACCACAACCTCAAATGGAAGAGAAGATTTCACTCTTGCATTTGCATTTCACCCAAAATATTTCCAACCTGGACAAGCAACAAATGGAGAACAGGAAGAGATGGGTCTCCATCTGTAAAGTCTTCGACAACCTCTACGTTGGAAGCTGGTAAGTCTGCAACACATTCATGATGTATAGTACAAAGCCATGTGATGCTTTAATAGGGTAATGGAGACAGTGTTGGGTAGGTTACTTCAAGAGAGTGATTACTTCAGAAGCTCTCCCTGTTCCACATTGTCTATTTGACATTCCAGCCTTTGTTGCCGGAAATAAAACATATTGTGGAGCTGGATTAGTGACAAATGAATGAGTTAATTCAGCTGAATATATTGTAAGAGGTTACTGAAGATACTTAAGAGGTTTCCTTTGAGTCTGTATATGTTTCTGCATTGTAAGTCATTTTAGAAAGCTGATTAAAGTTGTTTGTGATCTTGTGCAGGAAAAGGGCAATGGACAGAGTTGCACTGAAGAGGAGAGGAATTACACACGTCCTGAACACTTTACCCATTTTGGCAAATCAAGATGCATTGAGGAGGGAACAGGCCAAGCTGTACGAAACAATGAACATCTCCTACCACAACGTGTTTTCAAGAGACGATGACCCGTTTGACTTTAGCTGCCATATCTACCGAGTGGCAGAACTCATGCACAAGATTCTGAGCAACCCAGAGAGTAAGAACACACACACACACACACACACACACACACACACACACACACACACGCACACACACACAGTGTTTTAATATCATGTTCTAGTGTGTTCAATTGTTTTGTGTCTTTCTTTTCTCAGATCAGCTGCTGGTGCAGGATCAACAGGGTTGCAGGCACGCCTGCTTTTTCGTGGTGCCATATCTGATGATATACCACGGAAAAACATTGACGAAGGCCATTAGCCATATGATAAACCGTAAAAACATCAGAATGAGCAGGGACCTCCTGACGCAGCTAGTCGTCTTCGCTTGTCACCACAATCAGCAGCAACAGCCGGGTTTGATGCCGGAGTTTTCATCGGTCGACATAAACCACCCTCAGACCATTTCCCAAATGTACCTTCGTATCGTCAAACCCTCCCAGTACTGGACTCCTGTCAGTGAAGTCTGGCCCAATGTCTTCATAGCTGACGAGTAAGTCTACAACACACACATATAACAGCAAAGCATACAGTCAAATAATGATGCAGGGTTTCACCCGGGCTTAATTCCCACAGTCATGGAGTTTTTAAAAGATCTATTGCAGACATTAAAAGTCAGGGTAAATGTTTTTAAGTCATGTTTTATCCTGTTGTTGTGGTTAGGGTATTTCTCCCAGCCATTTTATTCCGCTTGTCAACCTGCAATCAAATTCAGTCCTCAAATTCAGGCTGGTAAAATACTGTCTGAGGCTGGTTTTTGTTCGCTCAGTGCTCAGTCAGTTGTTGCGTCCCAATTCGCATACTTATACTACACCCTAAAAGTATGCAAGCTTTGGGATATACAACTTCCGCGTTCCTTGGTATCGAAACTTGTACCAAATATCGATATTTTTAACTTGTAGTATCTAAAATCATATAGTAGGGTATCGATGTTTGTCAAGGTATCGTATCAAAGTCTGAAATCCCAGTATCGTGACCACACTACTTCAAACTATTTGACTACAGATTTGAGGACAGATTGAGTAAAAAAAAAGCACAAAATGCTGAAAACTGTTAGTTTGTGGATTTGTTTTACAACATGGCCAAAATCTGCAAGAAAAATCTGCGTTATTAAAACAATAACAAGCTCCTGTAAACTTTGTTAAATTCAGCATTTGTAGATTTACAGAACTCCAGAGTGAGCGCTGTGTGTTCTTCTTGTAAATTCAGCTTTTCAGTCAGTGAAAGTGAAGGTGAAGGGAAATGGATGATGTTGTTGTGTTCTTGTGCAGGAAAACAGCGAGGAACAAAGCCAAACTGAAAAAGATGAACATCACGCACATTGTGAACGCTGTGCCGTTGTCCTTAAAGGAAGAGGAATGGAAGGACTACTACCAGAAGAAGAACATCACTTACTACAATGTGCGTTCAGGACTCGGAGTCCAGGGCTGGCCAAACATAGCACAGTTATTTTCACCAGCAGCAGAATTCCTACACAAGGCTCTGAGTGACACAAAGAGTAAGAGTTGACACACACACACACACATGCAATATTCATCTGCAGTTGAAGCAGAATTATTAGCCCCCCTGAGTTATTAGCCCCCCTGTATATTCCTGTATATTCCTGTTAACAGAAAGCAGATTTTTTCAGCACATTTCTCAACATAATAGTTCTAATAACTGAATAATTGTGACTTCAGCTGTGTTGTTAGTTGAATGAGTTTGTTTTGACCGTCTTTTTTTCTGCATTTCCTCAGATAAGGTGTTGCTGTACTGCAGCGAGGGCTTAAACCAGTCCGTGGTGCTTTTTATGGCATATCTGATGATCCACCAGCGCATGAAGCTGGAAGAAGCATTCGAGTTTGTGTTGGAGAGGAGACGCATGTGGATAAGCAGGGACTACTTGAACCAGCTGGTGATGTTGAATCTGGACCTCGCAAAGCTTCGCAAATTGAACGAGTGTAGACCCTGCTGCACAGCCTGCTACGAAGCTATCTTGCAGCTTAATCTAACGTAACATGCAGTATGTAAATATGTAAATACGGTGTTGACATGTCTGTTTGTCTTCTGTTCATGAGCATTGTGAGAAAAATAAAGAAAGATTTGCTTCAATTGTGTTTCTGACCAGTTTTTCAGCTGACAAAGTTCAACCAGAAGATTATGGAGACTTAATTACTGCATAATTACAAATATAGAGTATACTTACTCATGAGTAAAATAGCTTACTCAGCTTTTATATACAGGTCTCATTGCGTTTAAATGAGTTAGTTTAAACTCTCAGTCTTGTAATGAGGCAATAAAACAACATTATCTTACTTTGGGTCTGGTTCTGAATTTTAAAGAACATTCTGGGTTAATTTAATCAATATCATCTGTTAAAACTATTCTGAAATGAAAATGAACAACATATTTGTAATAAGCGTGTGTATCATGAGTACAGAAATCCTCCGAACAGTAGTTTTGTCAAGTACTAAATAACTACAGTGAGCTTCTGAAGTCATTTAGACCAGGGGTGTCCAAACTCAGTCCTGGAGGGCCACTATCCTGCATAGTTCAGTTACAATTTGCTTCGACACACCTGCCTGGAAGTTTCTATTATATGTAGTGAGAGCTTGATTAGCTGCTTCAGGTGTGTTTGATTAGGGTAACTTGAAGCTAAACTCTCCAGGACACCGGCCCTCCAGGACCGAGTTTGGACACCTCTGATTTAGACTATATTAGGTTACTCAGGTCAGTCTCTCCTGTAACACTGTTTGACACATAAGATGTCAATGATGCGGTATCCTTTCCAAAGTCCATATTGAGTCTTTAAAAGTAAATATTAATATCTAGAAATTTCAAAAATTTTATTACACATCGGCCACTTTATTAGGTACACTTTACTAGTACCGGGTTGGACCCCCTTTTGCCTTCAGAACTGCCTTAATCCTTCGTGCCATGGATTCAACAAGGTACTGGAAATATTCCTCAGAGATTTTGCTCCATATTGGCATGATGGCATCAGACAAAACAGATTTGTCGGCTGCACGTTCATGATGCGAGTCTCCCGTTCCACAACATCCCAAAGGTACTCTATTGGATTGAGATCTGGTGACTGTGGAGGCCATTTGAGTACAGTGAACTCATTGTCATGTTCAAGAAACCAGTCTGAGATGATTGGTGCGTTATTTTGCTGGAAGTAGTCATCAGAAGATGGGTACATTGTGCTCATAAAGGGATGGACAGGGTCAGCAATATCCATGCTTTCTTGTTGTGGACGCCAAACTCTGACCCTCTACCGTTGCAGCAGAAGTCGAGTCTCATCAGACCAGGCAACGTTTTCACCAATCTTCTATCTGCTTGTTAAGTGTGACTTCACACGAATCGGCTTTCAGGTCCAAGTGCTAGATCAAACTGTATGGGGAGACTCATCAAATGGTAATAATAAACGTTTACAAGCGATGTAACACTTTCGAAAATCATGATCGCAATATATATATATAACCATGCCTATCCGATAGCCAGAAAGTGATTATTGTTTTGCAAGCAAGTCCAGAGACTGTCGTGTACACCATGATGTTATATAAAATTCACTTTAAAGTGTGATATGTTTTTACGTTACTTTAACTCATTTTAATATGTTAATTAGATTTCAACACGTGTTATGTTACATTAACTCATTTTAATAAGTAAATCAGGTTTCAGCAAATGTTTTTACGTTACTTTAACTCATTTTAATAAGTTAATAAGATTTCTAAACTTTCCTTCTGTTTTCTGATCTATCATCTTCCTCTTCTTCTTCCTCCAAATCCACACCATCTTCTTCTACCATTCCAGAGTAAAATATGTCCCTCAATCAACAATCAGATCAAACTAATGCAATGTGTTGTATTCAGAAAGAAGGTGCAGTTAAAATTGATTTTGCCTGAATGTAATCCATTTAATCTCGATAATATGAACTAGGCTAGTTGAGATTATACTTAAGAAGTTCAACAAGCCTTCAAAATAAAAGGCTCAGCCCTTTTTGATAAACGCAATAGATATAAATACACTAGAAATCGCATACGGATGCTGAACATGCGTCAATAGCGCCGCCATATTTGTACAGTGCTCCCATGTTAATCAACCGAACTAGTCAAGACTTAGACAAAGCTTTGTTAAATATGAACCATCTTTATGGTTAAGCATCCCTTTTCATATTTTTTAAAGAATGGGAGGAATTTCTTTTCTTCTATTTTGACTTACTAAATTGCCATTTAAAGTGTTACTATATTGGAAAATGTTGTACAAGCACAATTTTACTCCACATAATGTTATCATTTGGAATAACAGGTGTATTTTACATAAGAGGAAATCATTTTTCATCAAGACTGATTTGACAAATGAGTTTGGAATGTAATTCATTTAATGGATGATGACGGTAATATGTTGAGTTATGATCATTTTAAGTTAAAATTCAATTTTAATTGTGCATATAGAGAATTCTCTTTGGTTGTCAAAGCTATTCCTGTAGCTTTGAGGTATTTAGTTAAAGGTATAGTGCAATGCTCTTCTGTAACACCTACACTAGTTGATTTGGTTATAAATAATTATTCATTTTTGGATATTAAATGTAACAACAAGGTCTTGAGATCACTACTGACAAAAGAATATTTTCCTCTTCCTGTTAAAAGAGAGATTTTCTTATGCGGACACAATTGAAATGAGAAAAAGATACCTGTCATTTCCCTAATTACCTAAAATGAAAGAAGTACAGTTGAAGTCAGAATTATTAGCCCCCCTGAATTATTACACCACTTGATCATTTTTCCCCAATTTCTGTTTAACGGAGAGAAGATTTCTTCAACACATTTCTAAACATAATAGTTTAAATAACTCATCTCTAATAACTGATTTATTTTATCTTTGCCATAAAGACAGTAAATAATATTAGACTAGATATTTTTCAAGACACGTCTATACAGCTTAAAGGGATATTTAAAGGCTAAACTAGGTTAATTAAGTTAACTAGGAAAGGTTGGGGTAATTAGGCAAGTTATTGTATAACGATGGTTTGTTCTGTAGACTTTTGAGAAAAAATATTGCTTAAAGGGGCTAATAATATTGCTCCTAAAATGGTGTTAAAAAAAATTAAAAACTGCTTTTTTCTTGCCAAAATAAAACAAAACAGACTTTCTCCAGAAGAAAATATATTATCAGACATACTGTGAAAATTTCTTTGCTCTGTTAAACATAAATTGGAAAATATTTAAAAAAGAAGAAAAAAATTCGAAGGGGGCGAATAATTCTGACTTCAACTGTACATTTCAAAACAATTAATGACATCTATCCATGTAACTAATTTCTTAGAATAAGATTTAATTTAGACAGTAATGCTTGTATTTTCTGCTTGAAAGATATTGAATCCCAGGAACATCTTTTTTTTATAGTTGTTCTATTGTCAAATCCTTTTGGGACAGATTGTTTGAGTGGTTGATGACAAAAAATGTAATACCTGCGTTTGACTATCACATTGTGAAATTTGGCATTTTTATGAAAAACAAGGAAATTAAATTTCTGTGTAATAATATGTTGATTGTAGCAAAATGTTATATCCACAAATGTAGATTTGTTAAAGTTTCTCCTTGTTTTAAAGCATTTAAAATGATTTCAATATTTTATATAAATCTATAAAACAGGTAAAAACAAAAGGTGCCTTAAAGCTCTCTAAGCTTTTGTCAACTTGTATGGACTGACCCAGCTGAAGGTAATGTATTTCCTTTTATATTATTTATAGTTTATTCATGTTATTATTAGTTTTTACTGTTTTGTTTATTATATGCTGCTTGCATATAATGTTATATATGTTTAACAATGGAAGTTGAAAATGCCTGTTTGTTATTTTAAGTTTAAATAAAAATAATAAAAAAATAAAATAAAATAAAATAAATAAATAAAAAATAGTCAACACTTAGTTGACTAGTCAAGGCACCAGAGTGAACAAAAGTCAAGCGAACGCAGAGACTGAGGAAAACACAACCCAAAACCAGCCCTGTGTGAAAAGTGTTTGGCCCTAAACAGAACAACTGGTTGGGTTAAGCTCAGTCAAGCATTTTCAAGCAAGGTATAATTATAATTTAGACCATATTTAATTCTCAACACATTTGTATAGGTATTCTTTTTAAATCACACTTGCATAGGTGTAAATTTGAAAATTACTTTAAGTTATATACTGTGTAAAAAAAAAAAACTTTAAAAACAATTTCAGACAAATGAAGTGTTGCATATTAATATTTATCTAACTTGTTAAATCAATATTGACAACTACTGTGAGAAATCATTAACATGATCAATGTCTTCACAAAGATCAATATTATTATTAATAATAATAACATATAATTAAAAGGAAATTAAGAAAAAAATGTTATTTAATAACTGGTAGCCCTTTACACTAATCAGTACCCAAGAAGTAGCTCTCAGTTTCCAAAAGGCTGGTGACCCCTGATTTAGACCATATTTTATTCTCAACACATCACTAAAGAGCAGTAATGAAGCTCTTCTCCACTTCAGTTAAAATGATATTTAACAAGACATCTCACATTTTAGTCTGTTATTATTAACCTGAGCAGAGGCTTGAAATGTTATGGACCTAATGTACGTTAATCTACCAGGGTTACATCCATTAAACATCCTTTAACATCCATTAAAGCACTCTGAAACACAATTTATGACTCTGGTAAAAGTGTATTATCATTCAGTCAGTTCACACACAGTCAGTGCGACATCACATTATCGATGACAATTTTCAGAGGGAAAAATATAATTAGCATGCTGCAATATTAGCCTATCATATTATCCAACTCGGTGCACCATATTGTAGCTAGCGCTAGCTAATTCACTTTAGCAAGTTAGCAGAAAACATATATTATCACAATAATTGGGAGTAAGAACGGCTGCTTTGGTGACATTAACATTAAAGTGTATCTCGTATTATAGTGTGATGTAAAACTCGCTAAATTAATCGTCTGTAATGATGTATTTTGATGACAGATCGATCAG